TACTACTTTGAGCTACGGTTCTGTAACTTTTATCACGAATTGCTAGGCTCATGATAACTCATGGCTAAAATTTTCAACTGAATCGGTTAAGGTTAAGTTGAGTTATTTGACATTAGACTGAAAACTAACACTAACCGCTTGGCAGGCATTTTCAATACGAAGAGCATATCTCCATTAATTCAAAGTGATTTTTTACCAAACTTTCACAACAGATAGTGCTGATGTTGAGTTTTTGAATAAGGGGTCGCGCGAAATTGAACATCGAAAAATGGTTGAGATACGGTCTTTACAAAAGTATGATACGATTGCGCTGCTAATTCCGTTACACATCAACTGATTGAGGTCGGGCTGGTACCTGCGATCAGGGTTCACTGAGTTCTATTTATGGTAAAAATATTAGCCCAAACGGTTAAGATTTAGATAGTTTTCATCTGGTAGAGCTACTTTTTGTGACTACTGTATGAAGAATTTCACAATATTGAACAAGTTTTTTTGAGTTAATATAGTGTGGCTATAGAAGAGCGATTCCATTTTTTCAAGAAATAAATAAACACATGCTGATGAAAAAACTAAGTTCTTGCATGGAGCAGCATGTATACTACAAAATAGTCAAATTTTGCATGTCAATGCAGAATCGCTTCGCTATTCATTTTCGTAAATAGGATTCTTTTGCATTTGCATGCACGATTTCGAGGAGACCTCATCATATTTCGGGCAGACGCAGCTGATACATAGGCATTTTCACGCGAATTATATATCTTGTATGAACATGCAAGATCAGTGCATGCAAGTATCTGCAAATATTAAAGTCATCCATGATCTCACATGTTTTCCTGGAAAACCGTAAAATTTGTATTTTCATGCGTATGTTGGAGACATGCATTTATACGCAAGAAATTGAAAATATTTCAAATGCCTTACAAGATCGCGCGTGAAATAGGATAAATAAAAAAATTTTGCAAGTAAACGCATGTTTTAGCAAATTTCTTGCAAATACACGCGTTTTTTAAACTTTCACATTTGACTGGGTATTCATTGTTTTTCCCATATTATTTAAGCTAATCTTTATTGATGTTTCAATGTCTAAATTTCATCAAAGAAAATAAATGGTTTTTCTTGATAAACATCTATTTGGAATAATTCCATATGATCTCAACGATGGTGTACAAAAATGATCATCGATTTCGATAAAACTTACAGCATTTGTAGAACTTTAATTCTAAGCATTTTGATAAAAAACTTTTGACTTAACGGAGATAGGTTCAAAATTGACAAACTGTTTTTGCTAGCTTGTATCACTAAAATAAGATCGAAAATTAAATTCAAGATCATATCTGATTTCTTCATGAAAGGACGCATCGGACTATACACTAAATTTGACTTTAGTTTTAAAAAAACCAGTCTCAATTACGTTCTCACTGGTCACCGATTGCACAAAAATACAGTGTTATCTTGCTTCCTTGGTTATTTTTATCAGCATTTTTTAAATAGCTAAAATATTGGATCAACTTTCTTAAATACTATTTCTACCTATATTCTCTTTAAGCCTGTGTAAGATGGGAATCTGTAGGTTTTAGGAATGACTACTGTCGATTTAAATAAAATTTGCAGGATTTGTAGATGTTCTAAATTTGATTATTTTGACAAAAAACAATATATATATATGATTTGATGCTATTGTCAATATTAATATGTATATACAATTCGTTGAGAAACTTTATGTTAATAAGTAAATGAACGATAATTTCATCGTATTGTACAAATCTAATTCCATGTTAAATATGATTTTTCAATACTGATGAATAATCATATTGAAAATATGTTCAAAAGATATTTTTGAAATAGCATTTCTCTTGTAAAGGTTTTGAGTTGATACTGGTAGCTGAGAAAGTCACAACACAGATAGGTAAATATGACATGTGTTGATTATTGTATGTATGTTGTAAGAATAATTCCAAGTACGAATAGATGATATTATGAACTTAATCATTCAACATTTCCTCTAAAATCTAATAGGTGTAGAATTTCTAGGTGCTTCCAAAATGATTTGAAATGTAAGATTGTATTCTTGCAGTTCTTTCTTGGAGAAGGTGACTTTTCTTTTAAATAAAGTGGGATATTTCCAGTAAATAGTTCATTTTAAAGGATAAAGCATTCAGTAATTATCGGATACTTGTTTGTTTAACGAATCAGTACTTTTCTTAATCTATTTCAAAACTTTCAAAGAAACTTACAATTCATTTTGTTGATTCAAATCCAATGAATACAGCATACCTACACTAAAATGAAAAGAAAATAATTCAAAATTCGTTGCAAATATGAATGTATATTAGTCTTCTCTTCACTCACACTCACATCCACACACTCTTTATATTTCAATAAATAACAAGAAACGAGTCGCTGAAATGAACTCTGTATTTCTTCACTATTCTTGTATTAAACACATTCAATCTAATTACAAAAACGTCAAAAAGCAATCGATTGTTGAAAAGCAAGAGATGAGAGCAGCAGATTGATTTGTATCATAGACATCTAGGTCGATCTGTTTTCGATTGAGCACTCAGTATTTATTAAGATCAAAGAACAAAGACAAGCTCAATTTATAGAGAAATCAACACACTGTCAAAAGAATTTTCAAATTTTTTGTATCGGAAATGACTACGGCAATATCTATCTAGTCGCCTACATTGAAATCACCGATGGGGACCCAAACCGGATGAGAATTATAACTAGTTAAATATTTCATTTGGTTCGAAAATGTTTCATCATCATATCCTTGAAATATGCTAATGCTATAGGCACGATTGTTAGCAACAGCAATGTCCAATTTATTGTCCCTATTAAAATCTAGAATAACGATAGATATTGGTTCAGAAAACAAACCGATTGGATATGTCGTTACATTGCCAAACGCTCCAAGTCCAAGAAAAACTTCTATATTGTTACCATTGCAATTAATCACAACAGTATCCACTCATATATCATTGTTGAGATCACCTACAAAAATTGGTCACGGGTGAGAATCGGCACCGATTGAGAACATCGCTTGATTTGAAAAATTTCCATTGTCATATTCCAGAAATACACCTACAGAGTTGCTTTCGCTATGTGTAACAGCTACATCTAGATGCTTGTCATCATTGAAATCGTCAACAGCAATAGCTTGTGGAATAGATCCCGAACCAGTAGAATATCTTATATGTGTCAGAAACATTCTATTTTTATCGCCTTAAAATACAGAGACATCATTAACATTTCTTGACATGATAGTTACATCAAGCCAGTCGTCATTGTTGAAATTACCCACCATCAGAGTCCATCGATAAGTTTTTATTGGATTAGTGGTGTTATTCTAAACGTTTCTTGCATTTTGTGCATTTGAAATTGGCTTTACTTTGTCGTTTGCATCGATGAACACACTCTTCCTAGGAAGCGAATCGTTGACCAATTCAATATTATCATTCACAGGAACTATTTCAATCTACGAAGAGACAGTAGTTAAGAAAGAACACATCTCTGATATGAGAATATAAGTATTTCGCTAAAAATCGACAGTTTATAGCAGAAACTGTCGATACGGTAGTTTTGCCTAATCCATTCCGTCGATGTATAAGCGTGCAACTTTTCCGAGCAACTCCAACGATTTTCAAATTATTAAATGAATGTGTTTAATAAGTTGAGCGGACTGCTCAAGATTTTTGGCGATAAACTCATACTCCGTCGAAACACTTGCGCGAATACTACAATATATTGGAACGATTATCAAAACTGCTGTTTCGAATGTTTATTTGGTCAGACGACACTTATTTAGTGTTTATTGATCGCTGTCGAAATTAATACACATCATTTTCCCTGTTCTCAATTGTTTTACATGGATGTTTTCAGGTCCAAAATCTTCAACGTGTTTTTCTAGCCATGTGTTTTTTGAAAACAGCCAATTCTATAGTCTCAAATCCTTCGAGCCTTTGCCAAGACATTACAATCACCATTTTTAGAATTGTGGCCTGAGCAAGTAAAAATGTCGTTGGGTTTGAACATAGGAAATGTATATCAAAGACATTTTGCTCTCTTTTCAACATTTAGAAAAAAAGTTATTAAAATACGTAGTACTGCAAACTTTTCTTTTTCTTTTGAATAAGTTTTGAAAATTTCTGTTAAAAGTACCTAAGCATAAAAAATTTTTCTTCGGTGGGAAATGAGAAATTTTATCTAGGTTTCTAAAAGCACAATGTGAATATATTGAATTCAAGCCAATTCCAGTTTTGTCTACATTTGTCACATACTTATGCGAGATATATCGTTCGAGACGAGAAGATTATGAACTGATAATATTTCAACAAAACCATATCTCACTGAGATGAAATAATTTAAGAAGATTTATGTTTCTCCACTTGTCTTCTCGAGTTGCGATTATCTTGGATACTCTATTCAGTGGCATTAAGGTGACAGCAAAATCCAATGATAGAGTTTATAGTTGCAATGATATCTATGAATAGACACCACTGACAACGGTTAGCTAGAAAAATGTGGGCCATATTAATTGGTCTACCCGGAGAAAGGAGACGATCATCTTTAAACGCGGCAATACAAAATTTTTGAGCGTAGCCGCAATTTTTCGATTCATCTTCAAAAAATTTGTCAATTGTCGCCAAGAAGCTGCTCAACTAAGTATCACTTCTCATCTTCCTCGAATATCGTTGTTGGCAATAACTTTATTGATGAAATAAGAGACAAGCTGAATTAATAGTTGTCACAAAATTGACAACAAAAAAGAAAACTTTTCCAGAGAAAAGATGACACATACAATGTTAATTTGTGGTACTTAATGGAGCTCAAGTTCTGATTACAAACTCAATCATTTGATTTACTAACAACTCAGATCTGATTGGGTCCAGAGTGACTAGAATAGATTGCGACCGAGGATAAAAGTTCGAAAACAAAATCTCCTTTAGACTTGTTCTATTCTAATCAAAACTCAAAAGCAAAATAGTGAGTCAATCATGGTGATTACTCTAGGAAATGTGGATGTGGGTAAGTATGGATGTGGATTGTAGAGTGTCTTGAACTCATATACAGGATCACTCACACCTACACCCACACTCCACACTCACATCCAATCCACAAAAAAGGAATTGAAAATCTCACCTACGGCTCGGGCAAACGAGCTGATTTCTTTTTATCAATGATAGGGATACTTTCAGGCTTTATATTCATAAAGGCATGTCTAGACAGATCCTTTGTTAAGTATATTGTTTTCTTTTCCTACCTGTGAAAAAGTAAATATTTTTATTCAGGCCATTAGTGATATTTAACAAAGAGTCTCTCTAGGCATGTCTTTATGGATATAAACTTTGAACATGCCTCTATCATTGACAATAAAAGTCAGCTCGTTTGTTCGAGCCATAAGAGAGATATTCAAATTTTTTTTTTGGTACATGATTTCTGGGACACCCTGCAGTTGTAAAATTGATCTATGCATGTCATTTTGAATTTAAACTAGTCTATAGTGACCATTCGAAATACTATGTGACTATGATGAGAAAAGCAAAGAAAACAATTTTTATCTTGATTTTAATACTCTTCATCATATTCTCGTCTAAAATTAGTTGTAACTATTCTAAATTGATTTTATATATAATTTCAAATTCGTCAGACTCTGTAGGACATTTAAAAGATTTTAAAAAATCGTGTAAATTGCTCATGAATGAAAGTTATTTCAAATGAAAAATACGTATCTATTTTCTGTATATCTGCATTACTTTTTGTTAACTTAGTTGATGAATACACTTCTAAACATATTTGATGATTAATTTTATTTTTAATAATAAAATTCATAATAAGGCGTGGAACGAAAGTTTCTAGACAAAATATTTAACTATTTTTGTGCATATTTAAATGCATAGTATGTGCTTAGAATTTTTCTCGGACTTTTGACTTTTGAAATTTAAGTAAGACTGCATCAAATAAGTTCTGTAAATATAAAGTACTTAAGGAATGATGACTACTATATAAAATGACGTAAGAATGCAAAGTTTTGGTTAATTCGAAAAAGAAATCACAGAGTTCTGACAAAGGTTCATTTTGTACTGCAGAAGGCAAAAATCTGAAAAATAGCTATTAGACTTTATGTTACATTTACTTATAGCTCCATGGTCAAAAGTCATAGAAGAGTATTTATTCTAAAAGAGTACATCCAATGCATTTAAATATGCGAAAAATAGACAAATATTTTCTTTAGAAATTTTCGGTCTATTCGTTATATAAAAATGATTTGAAAAGAATACAATCCATTTTCTTTTGCCCTACTTTTTTTTAGCTGAATGATTCTCATTTTAATATCCAATAATTTGTTTATCTCACTATAGAATATATTGTTTTTTTCCGTTTCTGTAATCGACATAACATCTTGCTTTCATACAACTTTATCCAGGCATCAACACTTTATTAGTAACATTTACAACGCATCACCATGCACAACTGTGTATATTTATTCTTTTTCTCCCTTCATGCTTATAAATTCAAGCCTTTCTTTTATCTCACTAGTAAACATATATACATAGATACGTTCTTTATCATGGCTTGATACAAGAAAAAAAGAAAATTTATATATCTTATTTATTTTATTTAAGTGTATCAATGGCCGCCTGTTATTTATCTAAGGACAAATAAATTGAATTAGTTCAAATAACTCAAAGTCTAGCTACATCGGATAAAGGAATTTTAGCTGTAGATGAATCAGCAGGTTTGTTATAGGAATTTCTTTTTTTTTGTCATTATTCAAAAGAATAAATAAATTGATTTAGATATCATTGAAACACGTTTTTCACCAGTAAATATTGAAAATAATGAAGAAAATCGTCGATATTATCGTCAATTATTATTGCGTACAAATAATTTCCTTGTTTATTAAAAGAAAATGGAATTATAATAGGTATTACAGTTGATAAAGGTATGGTTATATTAGGTGGAACAGATGATGAAACAACAACACAAGGTTTGTACTTAAAAGAAAATTAAGATTAAAAAGTAAAAAAAAAATTATGTTTTCGTAAATATAGGTTTAGATGATTTGGAAGAACGATGTCGAGGATATAAAAAACTTGGTGCACAATTTGCTAAATGGTGACCGCGGGTGTGGATGTGAAAGGATCAGATCCACACCCACACTCACACCCTCAAGATACAGAAATTTACTGGTAACTTTCAAAATTGTGGTTCTTTCTCATTCGAAATCAGAGTGATATTTATGTTAAATAACGATAGTAATTTCTGAGAAATTATCAATATTTTGAAGAATATGTTTTTGTTCTCCGCAGGAGAATATATATATATATATGGTAATTTTCGAACTTTCTTACTGATGTGAAAAGAATTTCTGAAATTCGATTTTTCATGAGAAAAATTTACTTTTATGGAAATCGGAATACTTCCGCTTAGGGTACGAGCTAAAATAATATTTAAAACCACTTCCATTAATGGCAAGTTTCAACTATCAACTTTTCCGACGCATGTGAAAGAAAAATTTGTATTCATTTTAAAAATATCGAGTATAGTTGATAAAGTCCTGGAATCGAACTTCAAGACCGGCACTTCGTCGAAGTTACATCAGTAAAACAATCGAATATTTCTACTCGATTTATCCTACTAACGTCGAAAAGGATGTGGATGTGTTCTCTTCACTTTCATCTACCCAAACCTATACCCGTATTGAATTCTTTATCATCAACTAAATTATCAGTTCGACATTTTTCTTTTCGATGAAAGTAGAATTTACCTTTTAATCTTACATAGCAACGTCTTCATGCTTCATATGTTAAGTAATGAACAAAAATAAACTGTTGATTTATTAATAAGTTTCAAAGAAAAAGAACATCAGAAAGACAATCTCATTACAAGTAGCATAAAAGAAAATATGTATAGTAGTCAAAAAAAAATTCCGAAATCAAAAAGTTTAACTCTACAAGGTTCTAATGCTTATTATTTTAACACAAGCAAACTAAGAGTACGAACTTTTTTTGTCGGCACATATGTAATTCATTTGTGAAAACATGATAAATAGGAGAAGATTTTCTACGTATGTAAAAAAACAAAAACAGATTAATTGTTGGTTCATGGAAATATATTTACACAATAAATGTAAGGAATGATTTTCATGTTCAAAGAAATTTAATTAACCAGAGGAAGCATGAATTGAATCATTTTCATAAGGGAAAGCTAATTGTTTAAGTAACATTGAAAAATTTTTGAATATGTCTATGAGTTTTTCTGATAAAAAGTGTATGCATTTGTTTAATTCAAATGATCTTATCTCGAATTGAACAAGATTACAGGCTGAGACTATGTTATAGTAAAATTATTTTTTGACTAATTATCATGACTATGAGAGGGTAACTTTACAATTGTATTAGCATAAAAACTTCAATTAATTTTATATCTTCGCTTCATTCACCATTGATGAAAGAAGTATAGAATGGAATAGTTGATATAGCTGCTCGTTCAATACCAAGTGACTTAAAATTTTGATGAATTACTATCTATAGATAGAGGTGAATATGAAAGAAAATAAAATTTTGTTTTGTTTAGCAAAATAGTCTTGCTTCATTGGGAAGATATGAAGCAGCCGCCCAGGTCGACGATTATGGACTTCGTATATGACTTTAAACGACCGTCTACGACCTCGATGCGATCGTCTATGGTCGTATTTTACCGTAATACATGACTTAGTATTGCGATCGTATGTTATCGTGACCGTATACGCTGTGATACGATCGTTTACGGAGAAATACGCAGTAAAACGATCGTCATATTACTCCGTATACGACATGGAGATTGACCATCGTAATACTGAGCCATGTATTTCGTCGTATTTCTCCGTATACGATCGTTTACGACCGTGCTTGCTCGACCTGAGCGCTTGAATAAAAAACGAATAATTGTTTTAATATTATTTTCTTATTAAATATTTTAAACATCAAATATGTCCCTTACAGTGATGTCACACTGATACAACTCGCCATCTATTTTCATTTCTTTATTTTATTTTATTTTCTATTTCTTTTTCTATTTCTCTTCCAGTGATATATCTAGTATTTTCCTTTGTTATTGTTATCCATATATCTTGTCTCTGTTCTCTTTCTTTTTTCTCTTTTCTTTTCTCGTTCACTGTATATGTACCTGCTTTTCATTATTTAAACAGATAATAAAAGATCGTGTGCAAGTGTACACACACACACATATACACATTTTTAAAAGAAAGAAAGAGAACGAACTTTAGTGTTGATCTAAAAGGATTGACGCTAACAATGTCTAATAAAAAAAAAACAAATAGATCGATTAAATTGATTTTAATTATTTTTGTAGAATATGTTTCGTCATAATTCTTCATCATCAATGAAATATATCTTAGTTACTGGTGGTGTTATTAGTGGAATTGGAAAAGGTATTATTTCATCAAGTATTGGTACAATACTTCGTTCTCATGGATTTCGTGTAACATCAATTAAAGTATATTCAAAAGAATATATTTACAAATATATAAAATTATTTATTTTTTATCTAGATTGATCCATATATAAATATTGATGCAGGCACTTTTTCACCATATGAACATGGAGAAGTTTTTGTACTTGATGATGGAGGGTAATTCAATTCTTAATTAAGATTTTTATTTTTTCAATTCATCTTTCTGAGAAGATTACATAGCATCTTTAAAATAAAATCCAAAGCAATTTTCGTTTAGTCCAAAAAACACATGCATTTAACGGAAAATAGAATAAAAGTAGGGATGTATCGAGATTGAATCTTTCGATTTTGACATTCATGTATTTTGATTCAAATTTCCAAGAACACCAAATTTTTTTTGAATAATTCAATCACATATGGCACTGGAATAGAACCTGTCAGGTTCAAAATAATTCGGATCTGGGACTAGCCCGACGAGCTCTATAACTAACTTCTAGTCATTTGACTGTCTATTGATACTTTGAATTGAATCGAATTATAGAAAATCGGTTATTATGTGTAAACTATATATTACATAGAATTAAGATGTTTTGGAATGTGAAATAAATCATATTTTGTTGTCGAATATCTATCAAAAAGAATGGTAAGATAATTTTTGCTCAATGTATGTCGAGTTTTCGATTTTCTTTTAAATGCGCTAGAAAATGTTTTCTTTTTTTTTAAACTTATTCATTATCTTAATAATGAGTTTGTTAAGAATAAAATAGACAAATTGCTCAATTGAAAACAAAAATCCTATTGGATATGTTTTAGAACACAAAAAAAGGTTTCTTTTTTTTTCATTTCTAGTGAAGTTGACTTAGATTTGGGTAATTATGAAAGGTTTCTTGATGTAACATTACATCGTGATAATAATATAACAACAGGTAAAATTTATCAATATGTTATTGATAAAGAACGTCGTGGTGATTACCTTGGTAAAACTGTGCAAGGTTAATTAGACAAACTATATCGATTCTTAACATAAATATTGATTATTTCTATAGTTGTACCACACATAACAGATGCAATACAAGAATGGGTTCAGCGTGTTGCACATATATCTGTTGATGAAGATAAAGCTGAACCAGACATATGTATTATTGAAGTAAAATTGACAAGAAAAAAAACTTTTCTTTTTCGGCAGAGTAGGAGAAAGAAAATATCATATGAACTTGTATTTTTTTTTGTTTTAGCTTGGTGGTACAATTGGAGATATTGAAAGTATGTCATTTGTTGAAGCATTTCGACAATTTCAATTTCGTGTAAAGAAAGAAAATTTTTGTTTGGTTCATGTCAGTCTTGTTCCACAAGTTTGTATTCAATAGATAATTATATTCTTTCTATAAGTTTTTTGTTTCTATAGCCAAATTCAACTAATGAACATAAAACTAAACCAACACAACATAGTGTAAAAGAACTTCGTGGTTATGGTTTAACTCCTGATCTTGTTAGTAGATAGTTCTTTTATTTCAAAAATAGTATTGATATCTTTCTTTTTTTTTTCTTGTCTTCTAGATTATCTGTCGATCTGCTACACCAATGCCATTATCAGCAAAAGAAAAAGTTTCAATGTTTTGTCAAGTTGATAAAGATCATGTAAATAAATTTATATATATTTTTCTTCTTCTCTCTATTTCTATTTTTATTCTATTCAAGGTTATTTGTATTCCTGATGTAAAAACTCTATTTCGTGTTCCATTGCTAATGGACGAAAATGGTGTATTTCATTTTCTCTCTTCACGTCTTCATTTAATACCAAAATCAAATTATGATCAATCACTTATGATAAAATGGCGTGACCTAGCTGAACGGTAAATAATATACAATCAAAGAAAAAATAAAAAATAAAAGAAAACATAAATAGGAGAAATAAAAAGACTAAAATATAAACAATATTAGTACTAATCAACCTGTTGAATTTGTAGAAGTAGTTATATTTGTATTAATAGTTGAATTAATAGTAGAAATTAAATTTCCATTAGTGACAAGACCAGCTGCACCAATACCAAGACCTAATCCTAAAGTCATACCAATAAGTACAGCAGCAGCAAGAGCACTAACGATTATTATTAATGTATTCCCACAAGCAGATTTTCTTTTTGAGATTCGATAAATTGGTGAAGGAATAATTTGATTGACTTCATCATACCCATAAGGAATATTAATATTCGGATTATACATTATGCACTTGAATATGATCTCATATTCGAGAAGTAACAACAAAATACAAATAACCTTCTAACGTGGCTTTTATGGTAATAAGAACGCCATATAACTACATCTTGTTACTTGATGAGGCATGACTACAATATTCACGAACAGAAAAGAAAAATTTACTAAGGAGTCATGATATCAGAGAGTGTAGACGAGACACAGCAATCAATTTAGTTTTTCTTTTCTTTTTTTTTCTGTGCCCAACTCATCGATGTCTCAAATCACCAGTCCATAAATTGCAGCTTATAATATTTTTCCTTTGAAATATTAGTCACTACTGTTTTTTTTCCATGATTCTATATATGTGACAAATAAACAACAAAAAAATACCCTATTAAAAGTTGCGTCTGTTTTCATTTCAACGAAACATTCACATTTTTTTATGAATTATGTTAGAAGATAGAGAATCAAAAATGAAACAAAATCAGCTATTTCCCTATAATAGAATGAAAAATCTCTCTTCTGTAGAGTCAAAACTGTTCATTTGAGAACGATGTATCTTCTGTGATGACTCAGAATCAAAGAGTTTCAAGCTGAATTATATATATTTAAAAGGAATTTTTATTCTCTAAAATATATTTAAGAAATAATCAAAAGTAAATAGTATCTTCATAGCGAAACTGGCTTCATATTTTTCTCCTACCTAGAAGACCATGTATGAATTTTTCACAGAAAAAAATGTTCTGTAAAATGTATGCAATTCCATGTGGTTGTCGATGCTGATTTCGAGTCCTGAAACTGAATAGGGTACCTGACACTCGATTCAGGTGCCGGACATGAAAACAAATGTCGATTCGGATCTTGGGTATGATCTCATACCCAGATCCGACCTGTTGACTAATGAGATCTCGATATTTCAAAATATGTTTACTTTATCAAACGGCTAATTTATATAAAAGCATAGGAATGAAAGCCGGTCCGATCATGATTGACCAATTTATTGTACTTGAACACAGGTCACAGAAGTCGAAAGCAATATTGTTTTACTAAAAGAATTCGTTTTGAATGAAAACTCATCTACAGATGATAATGAAGTAACCAAATATATGAACAGGAAAATGAATTATCAGAAAAGGTAAACATTTATTATTGTGATGAGAAAAGCATTTATGTATGCGTCTATAATTATTACGTTTGCCGCTCATACTGTGTTCCATTTCAGCATCATCAGCAACAAGCAAATGATGACTTAGCTAAATTGATTGAATTCGAGAAGCAGAAAGGCACTAAATGATTTATTCACTTTTTTGTAGAATTTCAGATGATATGTGTTGTTGTTGTCTATGGAAGAAACTAAATAGCATATTTTTTCATATAAAATAAAAGTTTGAAAACAGTATTATGATTGTGAAAGTATGTGTTGGATATCAATTAGTGTCGGTCCGAGTCCTGTTTCAAAAAATCATGCCCCTGTATTCTATATAAAAATCATCAAAATCTATTAACTAGGAGAGAGATGCGAGTATGATTTTCGCTATGAAGATACCATTTATCTTTGAATATTTTTTGCTGACATTTATTAGAGAATAAAAAATTATCTTAGATATATATAATTTAGCTTGAAATTCTCTAATTCTAAGTTGTGATAAAAGACATATTGTTTTTCAGGTGGACAGTTTGAACTCTTCGAAAGAAGCAGTTTCCATTCATGTTCGTCTTACAAAACATGAGTGGACAGACATTATATTATATTAAAATAGTTCATTTTGTTTAGTTTTTATTGTCTACCGTTTAATATAATTTATAAAAAGACTTAAATGCTTCGTTGAAACAAAAACAAACACAACTTCTAACAGGGCATTATTTGTATTCTATTTCTTATAAGGAGAGGATGGTGTTAAAAAGACAGTATTGACTATCCTTTTATAGAAAGAATATTAGAAGATAAAATTTGTGGGTTGTTAGTTCGAGACATTGATGGTTTCATAATTATTTTGTTAAACATCTTATATTTTGTATATAAAACTATTTATCATATAAAAATTTGTTCTTGTTTTTGTTTTTTCATTTCTAGAATGGAACGACAACTTGAAGAAGTTATTATAGCTCTTGTTGGAAAATATACAGCTTTAGAAGATGCATATGCATCTGTACTTAAAGCACTTACTCATGCTGCACTTTTTTGTAATAGAAAATTAAAAGTCCTTGTAAGATATTCATGTTTCTCTTTTTTTTTGTCTTGTAATTTATCATTTTGATATTTTGTAAATTTGATTTAGTTTATTCATGCAACTGATTTAGAAGCAAATACACAAAAAGATGATCCAGTTAAATATCATGAAGCATGGCAACAATTATGTAGTGCACAGTAAATAAACTTTTAATATTTTAAATTGATTTAATTTTTTTTTTTTAATCTAGTGGTGTTCTTGTACCAGGTGGATTTGGTTCACGTGGTATTGAAGGTAAAATAGCAGCTATTGAATGGGCACGTACACAATCAAAACCATTTCTTGGTATTTGTCTTGGTCTTCAATGTGCTGTTATTGAATTTGCAAGACATGTTTTACAATATAAAGATGCAAATTCATCAGAATTTGATAAATGTGAACATCAAGTGGTATATTTCATATTTATTTTTAGTGTTTTTGTTTTTCGTTTTATTTATCTTTTATAAAATAGGTTATTGAAATGCCTGAACATAATCCAGGAATTATGGGAGGTAAATAAATTTATTTATTTTATGAGAGAAAAAAATATTGAAGTATTTGATTTTCTAGCAACAATGAGATTAGGTCGACGAACAACTCATTTTGTTACTGACGATAGTATTGTTAGTACGTATCATTTTTCTTTTTTTTAACTATGTCGAGCAATTATTCTAACTTGTAAAAGATAATTCATTAGCAAGAAATTGGTTAAAGCTTTCCAATTGCAGAATGTTCTAGTTGAACATGTATTATTTGTATCAGGGATAGGATCATTTCGAGTTAATTTGTATCGTAGTGAAAAATAGAAATCATTAGATTAAAATACTTACCAAAATGCTAATAGGGAGCTTTTAAGTGATTACAAAAGATTGAACGTTTGAATAAAGTTGAAAAAAAAAAATTAATGCATATAGATCATGATCGTGAATAATTTTACAAAATGATCAATTTATCTAATTGAAGATTCTTTGCATAAAAATAAACATGGTTTTATTTGTGTAGTTCTACTTTTAGGAACTGTGCGCCCGTGACAAAAAATTAATTTCCTACTCTAACAGATCTGTTATATAGTTTTCTTCTTAATAGTGAAGTCTTCCAACTGGTAAAACAGTTTTTGGATCGATACTATATGCATCATACAGACTCAAAGGAGTTTTGAATATCCTGAAAAGAATTCGAACTTTTAGGTTATTTACGACAGTTGTTAAACGAATGCCGTAGTTGCCGTCAGAAACACTAATTTTCGATTTTTCAAGTCGAAATTCGAAAATCAATTTTTCTATTATCGCAGTATTCATTTAAACACTATCGTAAAAGTCTCATATCTCGGCAACAATAAGCTAAGGACTTGGTCTACTTTCAGGGTGTTCATAGGGTCTATATAATGCGTCTAATCTCGACTCAAAAGTGATTCATCAGTTATTAGATTTCCTTGATTAGTACTACTGTGTGTGTTTTTTATTGATTCGTCATAGAACAATTATTTTCTATTTTTATAGGAAAACTTTATGGAAATATGGATTCTATTGATGAACGTCATCGTCATCGTTATGAAGTTAATCCAATACATATTGAAGCATTTGAAAAAGCTGGAATGAAATTTGTTGGTAGAAGTGATGATAATGAACGTATGGAGATTTTAGAACTTGAAAGTAAATTAAAAATTATTTTAAATTAAATAATAGTTTTCTGTTGTTTTCTTTTGTTAAGATCACCCCTATTTTGTTGGTGTACAATATCATCCAGAATATATATCACGTCCATTAAAACCATCTGCTCCTTACTTAGGACTTATTTGGGTAAATAAAATTTATTTATATCTTAATTCTATTTGATTATTTTTCTTTTTTATCTAGGCTGCTTGTGGTGAATTGAAAAATGTTTTAATACATGTTACAAAACAACAATCACCAACAGATATTACAATTAAATCTCCTAGTCCTTTTTCTCATGCTAATCTATTTCGACATACATGAATCTATATTCATCGTTTTTCCTATATTGTTTAAGATGATCTTTATTGATGTTTTAACATCTAAATTTCATAAAAGAAAATAAATGGTTTTTCTTGATAAACATCTATTTGGAATAATTCCACATGATCTCAACCAGGGTGTGCAAAAATGATCATCGATGTTGATAAAATTTACAGCATTTGTAGAGCTTTTTAATTCTAAGCATTTTGATAAAGAAAACTTTTGTCTTAACGTAGACAGATACAAAACACTTTCAACAATGAAAAACCAAAAATCCTCAAAAAATATATTTTTATGTAATTTTGACGAACTGTTTTTACTAGCTTACGTCAGTAAAATAAGGTCAAAAATTAAATCCAAGATCATATTCTAATTCCTCGTGAAAAGACGTATCGGACTGTACTGAATTTGGCTTTTATTTTAAAAAATCCACTCGGAATTATGTTTTTACTGGTCACCAACTGCACAAAAATACAGTGTTATCTTGCCTCCTTGATCACTCCAAATTGCTATATATTGCTCGATATGGTGGCAAAGCCTATTCGACAGTGTGTCGCTTGCTCTACGATTCTAATAGCACAGAATTATCAGCATTTTTGAAACGGCTAAAATGTTGAATCAACTTTCTTAAATACTGTTTCAACCTATATTCTCTTTAAGACCGTGCGAGATGAAAATCCATAGGTTTTACAAATGACTACTATCGATTTAAATAAAATTTGCAGGGTTTGTAGATGTTCTAAATTTGATTATTTTGACAAAAAAATATATGTGATTTGATGCTGTTGTCTATGTTAATATATATATACAATTAGTTGAGAAACTTTATGTTGATAAGTAATTGAGCGATGATTTCATCGTATTGTACAAATCTAATTTCATATTCAATGTGATTTTTCAAAACTGGTCAATTACCATATTGAAAATATGTTCAAAAAATATTTTTGAAATAGCATTCCTTTTGTAAAACTTTTCGATTGATACTAATAATCGAGAAAGCCAAAACACAGATAGGTAAATATGACCAGAGGCGGCGGAACGACTCTTATTTAGGGGAGGTTCAAAACTTTTCAGGCAGTAATGGAAGAGTGAGATGAGCGGGGAGAAGCAATTTTATACCTTTTTAACTCTAACTCATATTAAAGAGATATCAGTTGTCTCGATATGTTTTCAACTGTTTACTTCGCATATATTTTTTGTATAGATAAACCATGTAATCTTGAAATTTTGTCAAAAGATTCGTCGTTATATTTGCGGGTGGGTATGGGTGTTAGCAGTGCCTTCTCTTACGCCCACACCTAACTTCATTCTGGAATGACAAAAAGCTGGATAGCAATTGTTTGAAGTGTTCATTTCTTCGAAACTGGTATGATTCAAGCACAGCGACTCTTTATTATATAAAGATATATTACAAAAAGAAATACACCATAAGCAAAAAGTGAAAAAAAAGCGATGTTGGATCATGAGATTCATATAGTAAATATGGAGAGACAACAATACACTGCGACGTAGAAGATATTAACTGTTCGTAAGAGGTCAGGCTATTATATAGATCTTTAGTAGATCATGTTTAGTAGTGGTCAAATATGGATTGACGTTCAGCGTGGTCGTTGATGCCCTCTGCAAGTATCAGCATCAAAAGCACACGTGCCTTCCATGGATTAAGCGTACCAGCACTGAGAAAGCCGGCCTGATTATCGAGCTTGTTGTGCGACACATGGCCGTAACTTACGCGAGACGAGCGTACAATTGCTACACCTTGCTTCATTGCATCCATTGCCGCCTGTTGCAGTGAGTTATGAATCGTTCCGTCGCCAGTACCTGCGATTACAATCCCTTTCACACCTTTCTCGACGAAAGCATCGATAGCCGCTCGTGACGCTTCGACGTAACTCATAACGATCTCGACCGAAGGTAACTTCTTCAATTTTTGTACAGTAAACCGACTCTGTATCGTATTCAATTGCATTACTACAACGCTGCGTTCAAAATGTGCCTGGTTGTCCTTTACCCAACCGAGCGCACCAAACTCACTCGCTCGAAACGAATCGACTGAATAAGTGTTCATTTTGGTCACGTCATGTGCGCTAAAAATCTCATCATTCATCGCGATCAATACGCCTTGCCCTTCCGACATCTTACTTCCTGCAACCACTACTGCTTCCAGTAAATTGACGGGACCATCGGCGGACACTGCATTCGCTGGTCGCATCGCTGCAGTGAGCACAACTGGTTTCTTGCTCTTCACGACAAGATGCAAAAAATAGGCTGTTTCTTCCAGTGTATCTGTGCCGTGCGTGATGACAATACCATCGACTTGGTCGCTTGCGAGTAGGTCATTTATGCGAATCACGAGTTTCTGCCACAGATCTATTGTCATGTCCTTGCTATCGATGTTCGCCACCTGCTCAGTTTTAATTTGGGCAACTTTCGAAAGCATTGGTACGGCTGTTAACAATTGTTCGACGCTGAGTACGCCTGCTCGATAGGCACTCGCCAATCCAGAGTCATCTTCTTGACCAGCGATTGTGCCTCCTGTTGCTAGCACGGTGATCCGTGGTAACATTTTGTCTGAAATGAGAGTTTCGGAAAACACAAAGTACGTTCAGATTTCTGAACAGCATAGATGCTTATGTATAGTGATCGCAGAGGAGTACTTCCCAAAAAAAGTACGAAACATGACCAGACAAAATTTTCGGCTTATGTCTTCTTAAGAAGAAGTGTAATTAGCCAAAATATATCTTCTATATTCAAACTCCAGAAAGCGTAGACTATTTAAAATGTATATGAGAGTATAATCGATTTATTGAGAACTTTCAAGCTATACTGCTAGTTCTTTAATCGGAATGTTCGACAGAGTAGTAGTTCATATTTAGGATTCTGATAATTGTTTGCCTATCTGATTATTCTGTTCTTGTGTCATGTAAAATGACGATTAAAATATAAACTGTCGATGAATTGTCTACAAAAATCTATATATATATATATATGATGTTCAGTGTGTGCGTGTGTCTGTGCTGAATCAAAGATCAAAGATCAAAGATCAGGGTATGGTTAAGTGTAAGACGCTGTGGAATGAGAATGGTTGGGTGGAGGCTAGTGTAGGATGTGGTGAAGTGAGAGTGGTTGGGTAAGAGTTGGTGTAGAGTGTTGAGTGGAGGTGTAATGTGGAGGTGAGGGAAGCAGTGTCAGAGTGGAGAGGCTAGAGAGTGTGTATGCGAGTGAGAGGAGTGTGGTATGCAGATGAGGAGGGTGTGGGTGTTGTTGGGTAAAAGTGGATGTGCGTATGGTTTGACGTGTAAGTAGGTGAGATTGGGGTTATATTGAAGATGATGAAGTAACATTTACACTACATCTACATCGAACATCCTTGTTCCAAACCTATAACCAACCACACCTACACCTACTAACACAAATAACTTGTGTGGAAATAATGGAGATAAGGGCTTTAACTACATCTTTGACAATTTCCTCACCGTCGGAAAAGCTTGCTTTCGGTGACGAAAACAAACGACCGCGCAGTATGCACGGATTCTCACTAGTACGTTTTATATTTTTCAAGCAAACTAAGCTGTTTAATTTCTAAAGTGGGGAGGACTATGAGTTTTTTACATCTCCACGATCGGTATCATGACTCACACTTGATAGAAATAACTTAAAAGATCATGTTATTTTCGATAAGTAGTAACATAACACTTATCTAAAACTTCAATAGAGATGGCCAATTCAAAGATGGCATAGGGGCTGTTGAAAAATCACTGCGGTGAGTTATTCATTTGGAGAAAATTGTTTTTTAAATATATTCGTAACTATAAATAGTTAGACTAGCAACTATAATAGTAATTAGATCTTACTATCCTGTGGATGAGAGTGGGGGAGTGTGCCTTTACTTGTCGGTGAAGAGACAATCTCTCTACATGAACAGAGCACAAGCATGAAGATTCAGTTCCACGATGTATCAAATCATTTATTATCTTCGTCTTTTCGGAAACACTCGCTACATCTATCGAGCTTCCATTTGTGCTGACGAGAGATCTACCTACAAGTGACATTTACCGTTTGAGCGCATACTGAACCTACCGGTAATTCTCAGTGAGAATAACAAAAATCTAAAACTGTTCGTCCTCATTGACCTTTAGCATCGAGTTATGACCGTTTCACTGAGTTTTTTACTCATCTTTAGGTACTCGTCGGAAAACTAAATAGCGGACTTTCGATCAAAAATTTCGCCTGTAGATAAGTCTAATAACTCTTAAAGTATCCTGAAAATTTCAGACAAAAAGAACGTTCCTTCGTTGAATTATTGGATCTTCAAGTGAACTCAATTTTTGCGACATTTTTGTGGCAAAGAGCTGTTTTTTTTGGAAATTCAATATCTTGATAAAGAAACATTCTTTTCGGCTGTAAGTTTCAAGACATTCCAAGAGTCATTAGTCTAATCTACAGGAGAAATTTTGAATCGAAACTTTGTTATTCGGCCTTCCGAGGAATACCTAAAGATGGGTAAAAAATCAGTAAATCGGTCATAACTCAGCGTCAACAGCCAATGGAGATAAATCCTTTCAGGATTTTGCTATTCCTACTGAGATCTGCTTGTAAGTCCACTATAAGCGCACATGACAGATGTCAGATGGAGTAGTTCTTTTGTGAGCGAAGTGAGAACATTTACACAACTTTGATAGTTCTGAAATGAAAAAAATGAGTGTTCATCTATTTAACTCATGAAATCGGAATCTTATGATTTCGTTCAAAAACAAAGATAATTTCGTAATAAAGTTTAATGATCAGTATGGGTTCTTGGTACGTTCATGTCACTGTATTGTATGTATCTGTTCGATATGATCGTTAACGTGATCAGGAAGTGGGTAAGTGTAGGTTGAAGAGGATAATACCCACATCCACACCCACATTCTCTATGATCCTTTATCTGAATGGAGACTGACATCAATGTAGTGTGCAAATTAGTAAAAATCATTTCGTAGCATTGATCGTATAATAAG